GGCCGAAAGGAGGCAGTGGAGAGAGACTCAAAAGAAGCTGACAATCCACCTCTTGCAAGGCCGTCACCTTTGGTACGCGCATACAGGTTAGGATGTTTCATCCTGATGACTCGAGAGCAGAGGAAAAGAATGAAGCGACAAAACGAATTCTTTCCTTTGCGGGAACCGGTAGGTCGGCAAGGTAGCTTTCAGCTGCCAACTCTTGAAGGTAACTTTCCAAAGTCACTTGGGAAACAAGTCGCATCCGCCATAAAATACTTTGGGTGCTTTCACCGCGCCGGTAGGCCGATATGGCCCCTCCCCCTCGGATACTCGCAGGAGTGGGTCTGAGAAAACGCGGGACTCCGAACAGAATTAAAAGTCGGCCCCATCGGGTCTGGAAGGCGGAAGCACTTAAAGGGAATAGCGGCAGGGAGCCATCTAGTTCTCCAAAAACGGAGGCTATGTACTGGACGGTCTCCGGTCTTTCGACTTTCAATTGCTGGATCCGCCCCTTTCCACGTCGACGACTTTTGGGCTTTCTGATTTTCAGAAAAATCGCCGGGTGACTAGAGTCAAAAAGGTCTTCCGGGAGCACAAGATCTTTCCGTCTTGCATTCAAGACCTCGCCTATCCTAGCGATGCCTTCATAGCCTAAAAGAAAGGTAGCAGCCCACCGATGCCAGCCTTTAAAAACTGCAGCAGTGAACATCGCTTTGAAAAGGGTTTCAGGCAACGGAATGCGGTGTTTGAGAGGTCTGACTTCCTCCCACCTGACCAGAACATTCCAGGCGGGGCTAAGAACAGGTTTGAGCAGTGGGTGGTCTTTTTGTACCACAACCAACAGGTGCCGCAACTCGTACATTGGCTCCCCGGTGCTAAAGCAATGGATCCCATACTGGCGGAGAACTTGCGAGGCCAATAGAGGGCAAAGGAAAACCTGAGTGCATGTATCGTGCGAGAACTGCAGGCGCAACCACCGGTCGAACTTCCTCAACACTCTGTCCGGGATGATCAGCGTGGTCGGCTCATGAAGCTGGGCCTCAAACAATTCGTCTATATCCCTAGGAGCAGGGGGACGGTGCTTGGGAGGTCCTGGTTTCTTCGCCTCCCCAATCCGCAGATGAGAGCACCGAGCGCACTTAGCTCGATGCCACTGGTTCTCAATCTTTGAAGGCTTAAGGCCTGCAGCGCGACCAAGCGCTTTGGCAACCTCCAAGCATAACTTCCGAGGGTAGACCTGAGCAAGTCGGGTCCAGCTGCTCTGATGTAGTCTGCTGCGCCCTCTGAGCTGCTGATGACAATGCCCCCCGCTACACAGGCGTGGCACGCCGGCTAGCTCTGTGTTGGTGCAGATGCGCGTTCTCTTTCTCCAGGCCGTGCCGTAGGAGCACATGTCAAACCTGTAAGAGTTCTCAAAACGTGCAAGTCCACTAGCTAGCCAGTCGGGCATAAGCCAAAGGAAGGAGCCGTCAGGGTTCTCCGCCCAATAGACGAGATGTTCGTCACGAGCTTTAAGGAGCACAGCCAAAACAAAAGCAGCATGACAGTTACCTGTAGCAACCTTCTTTGCCATGTTTTCAGTGAGATTAGGGAGACCAGCCGGGCATTCTCTCGATCGCACAGCGGGGTTGACCGCTCTCGAAAAACTGCAGCACTCTGGCGCTGCGCCAACGCACCAGCGTCAATAAGCTGTAGAATGGCAGTTTGCACTGCTGGGTCCATAAGGTTCTGACCCTCCCCATGACAAAAATCAAAGGTAAGGACCCAGGTGTCAAAAAGTTTACTCAAGCTCTTGGCCACCCCAGCGGCCCCTGAATACAAGTCCAAGAAACCTCTTCGACTAGGTTCAAAAGGCGTCTGAGCTCGGATGCCACCAGGTCGCAAGAACTGTCCAGGCGGTAGGGCAGCAAGGAGCTCCTTGGCTTGGGCGGAAAGCGCAGGCAGCTGCGAGGCTTCATTTCTGCAATGCTTCTTCCGGCGACTGGCCGCCGGCTGCAGGTCTCTAGGCGGGGCAGCAGCGCAATCAGCAGCTGAGTCGCTGGACTCAACATGGACATGTCTTTTGGAGGGCGGAGTCACCCTCTTCAAAACAACTGGAACAGCGGTGATGGGCCTTTCTTCGATTTCTTCATTCTCTTGAGGCCTCTTCTTTTGCTTTTTGGTTTGGCCATTAGGCTCATTCTTCTCTCTTGAATCGTTCTTGTTATCGGTTCCGTCAAGGGGTGAAACATGACAGGGCGCTGTATTGCCCTCATCAAACCGAGCCATTCGCTCGGGCTTCTGTACTCGGCGTAATGGGTCTACAAGCAAGCTGTTTAAAATCTGTGGGTCGTGACTGCTACCATCACAAAAAGGAAGTGCAGCTACCTGTTCCGGCAAAAAACCTATCTTCCCTAGCCAAGCATCTAAGCTTAAAAAATCCCCTCTCAGACAGGCCGCCAAGTCAAAGATCGTCTCCCGAAGCGGCTGTCGAATCGGCTGGCCTCGGGTAGGATCGTCAGCCACATTCGCAAGTGAGCCATTCCCCAAGATGTTGGGCAAACTCTTCCTCAACAATGTGTTCAGGCTAGGACTGGAGCTTCGACCTTTTACGATGACTGCCAGGGCAACCTGACTATCTGCCGCCAAAACGTAGCGGCAATCCCGATGTCGGAGTGCCAATCTTTCTTCAAGCTCTAAAATACTTTGCAATTCCAGCAAGTTGATATGTTTTTTGGTCTTGCAATGCCGCTTATGGCGCAACTTGAAAGGGAGGGCCTCAGCAAGCTCTAACCACAACGGGTGGCTTACCAAAGGCACCCCTGCAGGAAGTTCCTCGGAGATCTCAAGCTGGTCATGTGACTTTAGCCACTGCTGCCAAGGGGTCAGGAGCTTTCCCCAGGTGCCGCGTGCCAAACAGTGCCGTTGTAACTCCTTAACGAAGGACCATGTCAGCTCAGATTTCACTGACGCCGTGAACTCTTCCGAGGCGTCAGACATGAAAAGCTCTCGATGGCTGCGAGCTGATAGATCTGTAACCGCCAGGGGACCAAGGGAGACCAAGCACCACAACTCTGAGATCGCACAAGGTGACAGTGCGATAATGGCATCTTGATCACGTCCCTGCTGGGCGAAGTAGATATGTTCCAGCAAGCACAACATGCGACGTCTGACCTGCAACACTGAGATCCATGACCCTGCCAGAACCTGAAGTAGGCCTACAGTCGCAAATCCCAGCAGCGCAACCCGACTCGTGATCCACATCAACGGCACCAAACGTTTTGGAGAAGCCCGGACTAATCCAGTCTTCCCGTCAATCAAGGCACCCCAGCACTCAGCTCTATCTGCACGTCGGAAGGTCTTTTTGGGGTGAGGTTTCAAACCCCGTTGAAGATACTCCTCACACAGTCGGTCGAGGCGAGCTTCACCGTCACTGTATGCAGGAGCGGAAGCAGGCAGCACTTGCTCAGCGATCAGGACGTCGTCTATCACCACTCCACAGGCGACATTCCCCCGAGGCGCCCGGCCGTGAACAGTCAACAACTCTGTCGTGGCGAATGCTGTGGATGTGAATCCCAGTTGCAGGTGAGCGCATTGGCCTAATTCCACTGCCTGATTGTCTCCCATAGCAAGTGTAGCTAAACAGGGGTAAAGAACTTCATGCTCTTTCATGGACTCATCAAAGCACTGCAAAAAAGAAGCTTGCTGCGGTGTCAAAGGAAAAGCTAGGGCATTCCGGCGGGCTCTGCGCTTGCTCACACGGTAGCAATAGTAGTAGTCACACAAATCTGTGCCACTCAGCCATAGTTGGTGCCCTGGTCGCAATTCTAGTTGAGTCAAAGCAGTCACCGAACCCAGGGTCCTCGTCCAGTCCGTCAGGGCTTCTTCCAACAAGTTGGGAGGTCGAGCATCGAGGATCATGCGGTCTTTGTCCTGATCTTTGATCAATGCGAACACTCCACACAGATGCTTCGAGCGGACTTCTGTTTTCGGAGCCAGGGAAAGTCGCTGCCGTTCATCCAGAAAACGCAGAAGATCAAACGCCTGCTGCCTGGACGCGTGCAGGTGTACTTTGGGTGGTGGCGTGCTGACTGTCAGCGGGTCACTGGCGAACTTCAAAGGGTCCTCAAAGACAGCGAGGTGATGAGGAGGTAGAAGGTCTCCAGGTCTGAATTCGGGAGGTTCCATGGGAACAGATAGCTGGGGGGTCTCCACTTCCTGTGCGACTATGGGGTTGCTTGTTTTCAAATGACCCACTACTTTGCCAGCATCTGTCGAGACGCCAACTTTCAAAAAACCTGGCTCATGAGGGCGCCGCTTGTATGATTCAGGCAGCATGCTCAGGGCCACTCCATGCAAGGTCTCCAACAAGGAGTCCAAACTTTCTACTTTGGCTGCGGTGCGGCCCATCTGAGCTGGCCCCACCGCATCTGCCACAGCGATCTCATCCAGCAGCTTTTCGATCCTATGAACTACAGCCCACTGCTTCCGAGACAATTTTGTCTGGAGGCTCAACTCAGGGGGTGCAGCGTTGGTGCGGTTCAAGTGTAACCAGGAGAGAGCTAAAATGGCAAAGTTCACGACTTTCTGCTTGCACATCTGCCTATAGCCCTTGGTCCCCACGGCTTTGACCACACCAGGTTCAAACCACTTGGGATAAGGCGCTGGCATCGGCCAAAGAGATGAAGCTGAGCTCCCGGACGTTGGGGGCACGTGGCCAAGAAAAGAGCGGAAAAAACACGAAAAGGGGCCAGTCGACTTGCGCAGCCACCTGGTCATTGAATTCCACAATCGTTGAACACTGCAGAGAGGCGCTCCGGCTCCCGGCACATGCATGGCCGCATCTTTCATCTCCCGAGCCCGGCGCTGTGCGCGCCTCGGCCATGGGCATCAGGGCTCATACCTCCAGTGCCTAGTTGGTGGACGACGGTTTCTCGTCGCCGCCCCCCTTGTTGGCACCTTTCCCTTTTGGTTTCTTGGTTGACTTGTCCGGCTTCTCCGGGCCCGCCTTGTCGGCGGCCGGATCCTCCGTCCTCCGGCTGGAGGAGCCCAACTTGCTCTTATTGTCCTGATAGTCGTGGATGTCGCGCAACTTTGCCAGAAACAACTCCAGCCAGCGCTCGTCTATCAGCTTTGTGTGGGGGCTCTCCCAATTCTCCAACGGGCGATGAGTTGCAAAGGGTGAGAAGGGAGGAGGGTCCTCCAGGCTGATTTCTTGAGCCACCAACCATGAACCCCTGTCGATACCCTGCTGGTCGAAGGAGGCGACACCCAAGGCACATCGAGCGCGGGCCTCGTCGGTTTTGCCTTGTCGCAGAGCATCCCAGACACCGCCTAAAATCCAGCAAGCCCGAACCGGTACTTGAAAATTCTGTACTCGACTGCGGTGCTCCAGCCAACCCCGGGCGGAAATGGCCGCCGAGGAAGTCCCCGGCAAGGCGCCCATCTGGCTCCAATCCTCCTCCATGCGCTGCTCCAAGGCCTGGTAGATCAGCTCGGGTTGGAGATGAAGGAGCTTCCTCAATGACCTCAGGGCGGCTGACTTGCTGCGGCTGGAGCCCACGGACCCATCTCGAAGTGAGGCTGATCCAGACTCGGCCCGATCCAAAAGACTCTCCAGTGCGCGATCCTTCTTCAACTTCTTCTCGGCAGCAAGCCGGGTGACAATCTTCGACAAGTGGATCACGGCCTTCTCGACAGGCTTTTGAGACCCACCACTCGGGAGTGGCTCCACTCTGAAGAGCCTGCCGGGCAACGCCCGGATCGATTCCGGGTGGAATGCTGGGCACTGCTGCCTGCCGCTTTCCCACGTCTGCTGGAGGAGGTGGCAAAGGAGCTGCACGAGGTCCTCCGTCTCCAGTCAACCCCGGCGGTGGCGGGGCCAGCCGGGCCAGGCTCACCCTCATGTCCGCTAGCAGCTGTTCGACGGACTGGAGCCTTTGCTCCATATCCAGCGGCGGAGGCCTTCCATCGTCGGCTGTGGCAAACTCGAAATGATCTCGGGCGATGTGTACCAGCGCCCTCGCAAAAGGAATCTTGGGGATGCCCATGGAGTCGACAGGGAGGGGGTAGTCCACCGCTTCGAACTCGGCAGAAAAGTTTTCCTCGTAGCTGCTCTTCAAAAGGCCACACCATAAACGGAAGGTGGGCTGCTGCTCGGGTATTTCTCGTTCGTCGTCGATGGCTCCAGGCACCATGACTTTCACAGCTTTTCGCAAACAGTCTATGGGCAGGATGCGCTTGGCTTTCGTCCGGTCCCAGACCGACTCTGGGACAGCACACAAAACTGCGCCATCTATCTCTGTGATGGCTATGCATGAACATAGTGCCCTGTCGGCTTCAAAGGCGAGGGCACCCACAAGGTAGTCAAACTGAATCTCCTCTCCCGAGACCACTAGGTGATCACGGATACCAGAGCTCTCGGGACACTCTGGTACCTCTGATGCGGTTCCACTCATAGCCATCAGCGCTGGAGCGCCGATGGGATCTCAAGCCCTGCCTCCACCAAGGCCAAGCGAGCTTCCTCTTTCGAAGGGAGCCCAATGAAGATGCCGTCCGAGGGGATGCCCGTGCGCTCGATGCAGAGAGGCTTCGCTTCCGTCCAAGTGAAAAAGAATACGTTCAAATGCCTATCGCGGCACACAAGATAAAGCCGGCTTTGCAAACTCACTTTCTCCCGCCCGCTCGGTCCTCGAGGAGCACCAAGGAGGCAGCGCTTCAACCACTGTCCCACTTCACGAGCAATTTCCCGACGGGCCTCGGAAATCCCCGACGACGAGATAGTCAGGGAGGATGCGGCAGCTTCAGATGCTGCCGGAACCGAAGAGGCCTTAGCCGTACTCACCACTTCAAAATCCTCAGGTTCACTGGCGCTGGCGACAGCGAGAGCAAGGACCCGTGACTCTAAGTCAGCAACTCGTTTCCGCAAGGCCTCAATCTCCGAGCTCTGATCCCGGATCGTAGACAGCAGGAGCTCTAGCTGAGCTTGAGTCACGGGCTTGTTGCTCATGCAAGCTTGTAAAGCGGTTTCTCTTCGCCCAGCTGGAGCAGGCGGCTGCGCAACCAAACTTTCCAGCTCTGGCGTACCAGGTTCACCAAGTCCAGGACCGGGCCGATCAAGAGCCCCAACAGCAATCCGAACCCGACACTAGGAAGGTCCAAGTGGCCTAGAGCAAGATGTTCCCAAAAAGGAGCCAGCTCAGGGCAGGAAGGACAATCGAAGGGCGTCGGAGAGGAGTCGAGGGCCGAAGCGAGCAGCTGCAAGGCTATGGCGGAGATACTACCGCTAGTAGCCCCCGCTGCAAGCGACCGGTCCATACGCTTGACCCGAAATTCTAGGAGTCATCATGTGTGCATCCAAGGACATATATCAGTGCTTTCCAAATTTTAAACCTGCTGCTGACAGGGTCGCAACCTTTGCCAATTCATTCCCCGAAATGAACCAGAATTGGGCCCAAGGAGGGAAAGAGATCACAGGAACATGGGCTTAAAAGGGGGGATGATAGCATAAGCCATGGCCAAGCCGGCCTCAGGGCACCGATGAGTTTGGCCACGGTGGTGGGCTTGACTTCGCAGCGCTTGGTGTCGCCCGCCTGGCTTTGCCCCACCCGCGTGGCTGCATAAACGGCCTCAAGGAGGTCGTAGCCCAACTTGGAAGCATCGTCCAAGCCTTAGATCAGGTTGAGGGCAAGAAAAGGCACCTCAAAATGGAGGGGGGGCCCAAGTTACGATCCGGCACCCTTTGGAAGCCCAGCTAGACCGAGTCTGAGGCCGGGGTACCGCGGCGCCAAACTCCCCAGACCAAGCCTTGAATGCCTCCAGCCAGTGATGCAGCCAGCCCAGACAGTGCATCATTCAAGCGCTGCTGCTCTTTGTCCGCAGCATCACCTTGGGAGCCATTGCCATTGCGGTGGCGGGCTCCAAAGGGCTGACTTGGAGATTGCAAGGGGATGCAGCCGGGACAAGAAAAGTGCACTTTCTTCTTCACCTGACCATTTCTTGAATGATGGTTGAGTCAGGCGAAACTTCACTCAACCCTCGAAGATGTCCGAGCCTGTGAGTGTTCCGCACCGCAGCACTGCGTTGGTCTCTTTCGAGAGGGCTGGCAGCAGCACATCGCGGATCAACGGCCAGCGACAGCCTTGATGGTACTGAACGGCCATGGCCACCTTGGCGGTACATACATGTATACATGCATATCCTGTATGCACATACCAAATGCATACATGATGTGTATGTGCATATATCATTTGTATGTGTATATATATATATATATATATGCGTGTATGTGATTGTATGTGTATGTATATATATATATATCTACAACTTGTAATTGTCGACGCCTCTATACATACTTGTTTAAAGCATAAAACCGTAAGTATAGCTCCGCGGTGGAAGCACAACTGCACCCCAAGGCTTCGAGGCGCCGTCTCCATGGCGCGCGAGCGCACCGCAGAGAAGCCGCTGCTGAAAATCTGCTTCGTGAGCTCTTCAATGAGCCTGAGGAAACGTCCAAACATATGGCATGTAATTACAGTAAATACATATCCAACATATGGCAACGTCTACTGTTAGTGATCAATGATCTTTTGGTGATCTATCTATGATATGATTACAAATCATTGGATTTGGGGAGCGATCGCAACATTGGACATACCCATTGACTGTTGGCAGAAGGGGAATTGAGATTCTTAAGAAAGCAGTCCAAAGAGAATAAGAGAGAAATATGTGAAGAAATCGTGAGAAATCAGGGTTCGATCTGCTCCATCTTTTGATTCCTTTTGGCGATCAGGATGCCCTGCTTGAAACAACCATGGAAACGAAAAGGCGGTGCCCATATCGACCAGAAATATCTTGCGATGGGTTGTGGGGTAAACCAGCGTTTTCGGTGGAGAAGCAAAAGGCCTGAGAATCAAAACGCGCGTCAAACAAGAATGCAGAATGCAGCATTAGACCTGATGGGGAAAGGATGAGCGGACCACACTCTAGGCATGGGACATGTATATATATATATATAAACACTTCAGAAATGCTGCAGCATGCATAAAGGCACAATACATTTTGAGGGTGCCTGTCCGAGCAAGGCCAGCGTGTGCAAGGAACACCTCCCCTTTCCCGCAATCAAAGAAAGGTTCAATTGGGTGTCCTCATTGCGTGTTGTACTAAATGCTCTCACGTGCGACTGCTTCATACCGCTTCCCTGTCCATGGTCAACATCCCACCCTCCAGACTTTCCCCTAACCTACCAAGCCACTCGCGGCGTCTTCCCTGGTAGCGATGCCCTCCGCGCCGCTGGTGCAACCTGTTCTCCATGGTGTCCGCCACCCGCTCCACCCACCAAACACGGGGCAGATCCCGCCAGCGCGAGTGCGTGTGAAGCATCTCCAAAGACGTGGATTGCAATGCCAAACCAGCAGCGTGCTTCTCAACATGCCTCCAGTGACAATGGGCTGGTCAAATCGAGAAGCAGAAAAAAAAATGGCATGACCCTCCCAAAGGAGTTGGATAGATTGTGAAACGGGAGAAAAACAAGAATCGCGGCATGCAAAAGCTGGGCGGCGCGTGTCGTTTCGGCGGGCACGGTGCCTGCCTCAAGCTGGGAAAGAGCCTCAAGCTACTGGGGTGCGTGTCGCTGAAAGCCCCGATCAGCTCTGCGACGCATTTCAGCAGCTTCCTCATCACACGGGACACATCAATAGGATCCAGTTTGCCACTGGTGGGCGCAACCGAACCATACTGTTCCTGAGCTGCCAGTGTTTTGAAGGCGGACAGAAGCACCGTGGAAAGCCAGTCGAAAATGACCTTGGCTGTGTCGCCTGCAATCTTCAAGTTGCTTGGAAGCTGTCGCAGTTTCAGCTCCTCGTTGCTGCGCTCGTCCGGCCACAAATCACAGGTGCCTCTCAGAATCTGCATGGCCAAGCGGATCCCCAGAACTGCACTGTGAGCCAACTTCTTCTTGCTTGGAAGATTCGTAGAAAGACCTGCCAGCCATGAGCTGGTGGCCATGTTGAGAGCTGGAAGGGCAATTCCCATGGTGGCGGTCAACATCTCCCCCACTTGAAGGAGAACGCCAAAGACCAGATCTCTGGCCCATGCGACCTGGTTCCAGGCTGGCGGATGAAGACATGTACACCGAGCAAGTCTTGCTTGATGGATCTCCCCAATGTTTGTTCCAACATGGGAACTTGTTCAAGCCAAAAAAGGTCAAAAGCAATCATTTGAGCAACAATGTTGGAGAACCAGAAATCCTTGACCTTTGGCTCAAGTCTTTCAGCCAAACTTGTCGTTTGTGGAATGCTGGGTCCAGTCTGAAGGGAAGGGAGGTTTCGGAGAGTCACTATTATATGCTTTGGCATGGTTTCAGCCAGCTGCAAATATAGCCTCCGGCAACCGACCCAGCAATGGGACATCCTCAGTGTCCAAATGCTTGTATAAATCTCACAAAGAAGCGTGATCATCCTTTTCGTCTTCTTCAAGTACTAAATTGGCATGCTGCAGAGTGTGAATGATCCTGCCCATTAATAAGGATATATAACTTCGATGTGGTCAACCATGGTCGGCCCAATTAAACCTAATGAACCCAATGGCACCTATTAACCTGTCTATTGTAACCAAACACACGTATGTACACTGATAAGTTCCAGGTTCACCGTGGGTTTCATTGTTTTTGGCACTGGGATAGGTTCATAGGCGGGTCAGTGTCCGCAAGGTTCAACAGGCATACACATGCATTCAATGCATACAAGCCAATACCCAGCTGTTGGAAACGATGGAGCTTGCAATCGGGGGGCTCTCATACCCCTCGATTGTCCAATGACAGAAACCTGAAAACCTTCCTCGGAGATTTCAAGCCGGAAAGTGATCCAAATCCTTGCACGGCCTCTTCTTCCCTATGTCACAATGTCGCCGCATGTGACAACCTACTTCGAAGGAATTGAAATTTATGGAATGTCCATGAATTTCTCGACCCTCCCCCTCTTCCTCGGCCTCTTCTTCGGAGGGCATGTGCCACTTCACGGTCGACTCGGCATCGGTGAACCACCAGGGAGGCTGCGCGCCAGACCACACCAGGGTCGTCAAACCCGCCGGTGGCGGGACGGTGCTGCCCAAACGGCAGGCCATCAGGGTCTGCCACACGCCATCGTTGCAAAGACGGTAGTCGTTGCACACATAGACAGCCTCACGCAGTGCGTGAGGAATTTGCACTGCATTGCAGAAAGAGGGGTGTCTAGGGCAACTTCACCGATAATGAGCGGATTTAGGGGATTGTTGGACAGAGCAAAGGGATGGAAAACATCTTGAGTGAGTACCAGCAGCTGTCAGCGCGTAGAGAATTCGCCGTAACAGCTTCATACCCAGCTTATTCACTGCTTCGCGCTCATCCAGGAAGGTCGCGCGCATAATCATCTCCAATTCATGACGGTGGGGCAATAGGCTGGCACCACCGCAACGGACGGCCGAGCACAGGAGGGATAGCCACCATTTAGCTTCACTTTCTGAGACCTCGCGCTTGGTGAAAAAAACGTTGAAGAAACGTATTCTTCAGCCGTGTGTTTTACACCAATTCAACATGGGACTTACACACCTCCAGCTGGTCTCAGACCCGAAAACTGTTGACTCCACCAACCATTCCAACTCAAGAAACCGAAACCACGTCGGTCCACCTCTCTGGAGATCAAATGACCCCCGGCTGCACTTCCCCCCTGCCGTTTTGCGCGCGAAGAAAGAAGAATTGCTGAAAAATTGAAACCACCTTCTGAAAAAGTCCGTTCAGCAACCAAAAGTATGCTTCAATTAGAAGAAAACACCCCCATCTTTCACCTATATCCCACCAATCACCACAGGCCATCCGCGTAAATCGCCCCAAGGCACCCCAGCTTCGTGTAGTGGCAACACAGTCGATTTGGGCTGGTGCACCAGCAACTTCTTGCAAATCAGGGGCATCACCACCTCTGCGTTTGATCTTTGTTGACGACTGCGTTTGATGGCTGAATCTAAATATATGTGTATGTATATATATATATATGTGTGTGTATATACTATGTCCATATCTTTACGACTGGGCCTGGTCTGAGGCATGTAAATTTGCAAATCGGTCGAGGTGATGCAAAAGGGTTTAAGTCAGAAATGGCTCCCAAATTGGTCCATGATTAATTGAGACCTAAACTCAAAAGAACTTGCTCTTCCCACAACTTGTCCAGCTTTCCTGCGGATTTGAAGTATTCAAGTGCTTTCGTTCATAAAGCTCCTATAGCGGTAGCTACATTACGCTTTCTCAGGCTGGGTTCGCCAGAAGGATACTTTTTACATATACATGTTTCGCTTTAGAGGTTGCAAGTGGCTGTTTCTTTTGGGGGTAAGGCAGTGTGCAATATTAAGCTGATGACAGTGCCCATGTGCTTCAGTTGGGCGAGAATTAGACATTGCCTTGTCCCCGTATCAGTGCCGATGCAATGAAGACTTGGTATGGTATTTGTGGTAATCATTACAATCTAACTAACGTGCTAGCTGTCCACCTAGAACCGAATATTACTTGCAATTCCTATGACCTAAGTTAAGCAACAATGTATGCTCAATCCGTAGGGATATAGCACTTGTATAGCAAATTCACATGCAAACAAAAAAGGTTGTCTATGCCACCAACACCTTTCCCACAGCCTTGATCCCACAGTTTGACCCAAAATGATTAAGTGAAGCACTTCGAAAGGTATACGCTTTGGATTCGGTGGCCTTTTGCAAGCATGGCGGGATATATAGCTATATATATACATAGATGTGTGTGTGTGTGATTATTGGTGAATATGTGAGGGTTCACTCCTCAAGCATTGCTTTAGCAATGCCAATTACCATGGGCATTACACTTGCAAGGTGCAAGGCACTGGGATTGCCATCTCGGGGCAGGCACGCACAACAGCAAAGACCAGGAGCCCAGCAGGTTTCACCTTGGCGTTGCGGATTTGGGACCCAAAACAGGGCCCGATTAACTAGGTGAAACCAATGAACTCATTGTATGATCTATGGGTATGCTGCCAAGAACCTCTATATATATATATACGTATGAAGGGTCCGCCAAATACAACATATCGATGCTGCCAGATCAACCCGTTGGAAATTGAGAAATCACCGGCTGAACAAGTCCAGATCACTTGATCTGGAAGGAAGTGCGATCCCAGAAATTGGCAAAGGACATCCAGCATCTGCTTGTATGTGTCCTCCAGCGGTTTGCTGTGGCCAATGCTCTTGACACTTGAGGATGCTGGCGGCCCCACAGTCACCACCCAAAACCAGTTCACCCATATGATTCACATGATGGCCTGAAAATGTCAAATCCAATAATCCAATGGTTGATCTTGATGTGTGCCTTCAAAATTGGTGGGAGTGTTGAAAAAAATCCATTTAGTCATTTAGTCCTTGTCTGTTTGGGACCCTGCGATGCACAAAGCTCCATGCAGCAGGCCCATGGTTGCCAACCTGGGAATTTGGCGGGTTCGGCCATGGCAAAGTCAAACACCACCTGTGTTCTCGGTTAAATGTGCCTTCCTCACTGAAGATCATCAAGCCTCACCAATAATAACGAACTACATATCAAACCCCATGTTCACGAGTTCATTGATTATCCACGAAAGGATCACCAATCTCACTGTGAAGTGAATGCAAACACTGACAGCCTAGATTTTGATCTCACGCTTGGATAGTTGAGCCGTTCAAAAAGGAGTTCAATCCACACTTGAATCATTCCCACAGGCTTGCGGGACTTTGCCATGCCCGCCCGCACCGAAGCGAAGGAGGCGTCGCAGTGCCAGTGGCGCACTCATCGCTATATTTAAAATATTGTTGGGCGATGGCAGCCATACATGGCCAACCATCAAATAGTTTTTTT